AATTATTTGAACGAATACTGGCAGAGGAATTTTAAAGGCAAGTTGACCTTGCTGACAAACAGCAGGCACAAAACAAGTTGGGATCACAGTGCTCTGGTTTTACCTCACAGCATTCTCAGTGACAATATTTGAGTTTTAAAATCAATCTGACAATAAAACACCGTAAAAGTAGGGGGTTTTATGATATGACATCCAGCAGCTCGTATTTTAAGACACAGAAACCCAGCAGGCAAACCAGTTATTGACTTTTAGTGCATGCACTTCATTATCCATGTGGATAATCGATCCAGAATCCACTGAGGTGAAGGCAAAGCTGCCTGTGACCAGCAGAGTTTGGTCTTTGTTGCCCTCAAGTGCTAGATCACTGGGGGGCAACATAAACCTCAGGCCCTGTTTCCCTGCTCATTTTCCACAGTGTCAGGAGTCAGGACAGAGTGATCCTTCCCACCCCAGCTCCAGGCAGTTTGTTCACCTCAATAACATTGAAAAGTCAGTCTTTGGTCTTCCCAAGCCGTTTTCCCAGCCAGCAGTGTCCACAGGTGTCAAGATATCCTTGGTCATTCCTCCCAGTCATCCATTGCCCACTCGGGCATGTCGGAGCAATACTCAAACCCTGCTCCCTTGTAGCGCAGGGCGTGGAGGAACATCACCAGCTCCTTGGGAGAAGGGTCCCGTCTGCTCATCCTACACTCCACACATAAAGGGTCCTTCTCTTCCCAACCCTTCTGTCCTGTTTGCCCATCCTGATTCCCACATGAACCGAGTTCTTTGTCTTTCTCAAGCGTTTCCTGGTTGATATCAGAGTTTGGTGGACAAGCTGCTATGTCATTCCTCTCAGGATCCTTCACATTCCTCTCAGGATTCTCCTCGTCCCTCTGAGGATCTTTTGCATCCCTCTCAGGATCCTTCGTGTCCCTCTCAGGATCCTTCACATCCTCAGCAGGGCAGGAATTCCCATTTACAGGGTCAGCCTCTGCAGACTTTGTGCAGTCACCCGAATCCCCACAGTCTTTATTTTCACCACCGGAGTTCAAGTCCTCCTCCGAAATACCCAAGATCTCCAGGCTCTGCTTGGAACGATGCTCCTCCACCAGCGCCTTCAGGAGCTCCTCATCCGTTTTCCCGATCTTCCCGCCCTTCCCCCTGTCAGGACCCCAGGCTTCCATGTTATAGATGGGATCGTTGACGATGGGGTGCCCCAGATACTGGAGGTGGACCCGGATCTGGTGCGTGCGGCCCGTGCGGGGCAGACACTTGACCACGCTGGTCTTCCCGTTGTAGCTGAGCCTCTGGAAGATGGTTTTGCAGGGTTTCCCTTTGGGATCCACGCGGCACACTCCCACCTTGTAGGAAACGACCAGGATGGGCTCTTCACAGACCACCTCGTGCTCTGGGAACTCCCCCACCACCCGGCAGACGTACTCCTTCTCCAGCTACCGGGAGACACAAGAGGAAGGCTCAGGAAACACAGCGGAAAATACACCCAAGCCCCATCCTCACTCCTCCTCCCCTTTCCCTTCCATGAAATACATCCATAGGCAGCATTTTATTACAATAGGAGAGGGAAAAAAAATTAAATAGGCTATTTAAAGCCAAATTCCCCTCACGCTTTCCCCAGTTAGTTGGGAAATCAAGGACAAATGGGTCCAGCCTGTTTTCCTCACATTAAATCCAGGAGCCACCTCTCTGCAGCCTTTAGTTTACAGCCCTGAAGCCAATCCCTGAAAGAGTTTTGTTTGGGTCAAGAAACTCTGGAAAAATGGGAATTTGAAAGCCGAAAGACTGGACGATTGACATGTGTCCGCTCACAAATAAACCTGCTCTCTAAACTGTTTTGCACAATCCCAGTCAGTTTGCACAGTTCCTTGGGACAGGCCCTTAGGGGAGGAGATCCCTCCCAGTCCGATATTCCCAAAATCAGTTAAATGGTTAGGGGTTCAATCTAATTTTTGATTAATATTACCAAATATTTCAGTCTAATATTATCAAAATCAATTAAACTTCAAGGAGATCCCTTCCAACCCAATATTACCAGAATCAGTTGAATTTTCAGGAGACCACTCCCAATCCACTATTACCAAATTCAATTAAAGTTTTAGGAGATCCTTTTCAATTTAATATTACCCAAATTCAATTACATTTTTTAGGAGACCCCTTCTAGTCTAATACTACCAAAATCAATTAATTTTTAGGGTTTTCAACCTAGTATTTTCAATCTAAAATTACCAAATTCATTTAAACTTTTAGGAGATCCCTTTCAATCCACTATTACCAAACCCATCTGAATTTTTTCTCTGCCTTTATCTCTTGATGTTTCTCATCCTTAATATGATAAAAACAGCAACACAACCACGAGCTGTTTGGGGAACTTGGGCTCATTTAGACCTCAAGTTCGGCTGACTCAGGAGATCTCTTTCAATCTAATATTACCAAAATCAGTTCAATTTTTAGGAGATCATTCCAATCCAATATTATCAGATTCAATTAAATTCTTAGGAGATTCTTTTCAATCCAGTCTTACCAAAATCAGTTCAATTTTTAAGAGATCCTTTCCAATCCAATATTACCAAAATCAATTAAATTTTAGGAGAACCCTCTCAATCCAATCTTTCAAAAAAAAAAAATCAATTAAATTTTATGAGATTCCTCTCAGCAAAACATTGCCAAAATGAGTTATATTTTTAAGAGATCCCTTCCAACCCAGTATTACCAAAATCAGTTACGTGTTCAGGGTTTTCAACTTAACATTTTCAATCCAATATTACCAGAAACAACTAAATTTTGAGGACATCCCTTCCATGCCAACATCACCAAAAACAGGTAAATTTCAAGGAGATCCCTTCCAATCCAATATTATCAAACTCAATTAAATTTTCACTCTGCCTTTACCCTGTCAAGGACGAGAAGCACCAAGAGGTAAGAACAGCAACTCGACCACAACCTGTTCAGGGAACTCGTGCTCGTTTGGCCCCCAAATCTGTCTGACTTTGGGCCAAACCTGCTGCAGGAGAACACGGTGCCAACGACTCCCGGCCCCGCTGCTCTCTGACCTGCCTCTCCCGGACCTGCTCGTCGATCCTCTTGGACACGGCCGCGGTCTTGGCGAACATGAGGACGCCCGAGGTCATGCGGTCCAGGCGGTGCAGGGTGTGCAGCTCCGTCAGCCCGTGCTCCTTGCCCAGGATGAAGATGACGGTGTTGTGCCGGAACCTGCCGCAGGGGTGCACGGGCAGCGAGGAGGGCTTGTCCACCACCACCACCTCCTCGTCCTCCGCCAGGATCCGGAGGGGCTGGGCAGTGACCGGCGGCTCGTGCCGGTGCACCGTGTTCCTGAGGAAGTCGTTGTTCTGCAGGGAATACGGGCAGTCAGCCGGGATCCAGCCTGTGGACACCCCCGCTCAGTGTGGTCACGCACAGGGAGCTTGATATTTTGTGTGTGTGTGTGTGTGTATGTGTGAAACTAAAGCCCTTTCCTCCTGGACCCCGGATTTAGGATAATAACAGTGCGTGTTCCCGCATGAAGCCCGTGGCATATATTCCCATTCCCAGGGGCCGAGTGCGAAGCTGTGGGGCACATCTGGAGCTGAAGGGTCCACACGCCCCCAACCCCACAGGGGCAGGGATTCCCCGGAAGCGCCGACTGTCCCCTCCAACCCCTCCCCAGGGTTATCTGACCGCGCGGCCCGGGGGTCGCGCACCTTGAGCACGACGTGCAGGTCGCGGACGGGCTCCTCGTTGAGGCGCAGGCGGCCGGCCCGGGCGGCGGCGCGGTAGAAGTCGAGGGGCTGCGCGCGGAACTCGGTCCCGAAGACGTGCAGGAGGCTGCGCCCGACCCAGCGGCCCTTGCAGTAGGTGCGGAAGTCGAAGTAGTAGGGGCGCACTTTGCGCAGCCCGCCCTCGAAGTAGTACGAGGTCTCGGCGAAGTGCTCGGCGCCGAAGCTCACGCCGGTGCTCAGCTTCCGCGGCGGCGGCACGTACCGCTCGCCGCCCGCCAGCCGCCGCTTCTTGGGGGCCGGCGCCGCTCCCTCCTTGCCCGGCTCCTCGTCCCGGGCCCCGCCGGGCCCCGATCCCGGCTCGGCCATGGCCCCGCGGGGCGGGCGCGGCGGCGGCCGGGCCCCGCGCACCCACGTGGCACACACCGCGCGGCGCAGCCCGTGACGCATCACTGCGCGCCGGGCGCCGCGGCCAATCGGCGCAGCGCATCTCGGGAGGCCACGCCCCCAGCACCGCCTCTCCCTTTCCCGCCCTTTTCCCGCCCCCCCCAACGCCTCAGGAGGGCGCGGGACGGGTCGGGGGCGGCAACAGCGTTATTTACCTTTGTTTACCGCCTTCATTTACCTCATAACAGTCCCCTCCTCAGAACTGTCCCAGTAGTGAGCCCCGAGCCTCAACCGCAGTCCGCCGGCCCCTCGGGAGCCTCCCCAGTCACCGCCCGCGCGGGCACGGCAGGGAAAAGCCGAGAAATGAGCGTTTTTCATAACCCCAGACACGGAAAAGCCAAGAAATGAGCGATTTTCTTAACCCCGGAATTTTTCATAACTCCAACAGAAAAAAAAAAAAAAAAAAAAAAAAAAAAAAAAAAAAAAAAAAAAAAAGCCGGGAAATGGGAATTTTTTATAACCCCAAACAGGAAAAAAAAAAAAAAAGGCCAGAAAATTAGCACTTTTCATAATCCCAAACTGAAAACAAAAAAGGCTAAGAAATTAGCATTTTTCATAGCCCCAAAGAGAAAAGCCAAGAAATTAGCATTTTTCTTAGCCCTGAAGAGAAAAAAAACCCCCGAACCCACAAGAAATTAGCATTTTTCATAACCCCAAACAAAAAAAAAAAAAAAAAAAAGCCAAGAAATGAGCATTTTTCATAACCCCAAAGAGAAAAAAGCCAAGAAATGAGAATTTTTTCTTAACCCCAAAATTCGGTGTTGCTGCCCAAGATTAAATTAGTGGATGCACGACTAGAAGAGAACACGCTCCCATAATTAAAAACACAAATCAGTCTCATTGCTCTGAGACAATAATTGTGACTTCTTTTCACCAAGCATTAAGCAGAGTAGTCGATATTAAAACTGTTTTAGTGAAGGTTTAAGTATTCCTGCCTGCTTTTGGAATTCTCTGATGTTATCTGTAGTTTATCGGAGAGGATAGCTGGAGTTATCCGGATCCACTTCCTGGAAGCTGCCGTGGCCTCCAAGAGCCTTCTCTGGTCCTGCCCCTGTTCTCCATCCCTCCGGAATGAGCTCTGCTGAAGCAGAACTTCCCTTCCCTTTATCCATGGATAAAATTTCCGTTAAAAATCAAAACCATACCGACCATCTACAGGCCTAAAGTCCCACTCATGAGCTTTCTGAGGTGCCTTTAGGGATATCCATCCATGTGTCAGAGTTCGCCCCTGAGGCAAAGAAAAACCAACAGTTACTACTCGTGGCCCTCGGCTCCACGACGGCGTCACACGGGGTTTACAAACACACACAGGCTCCATGAAAAGAGGAAATAAAAGTTGGCAAGCCCTATCCAAGGGGAAACACCCCCTTGCTCTCCTGCTCTGCCAAGCTGTTTCCTCCTCTTTTTTTTTTTTTTTTTTTTTTTTTTAACATCTGCCAGGGATCCAGGACTCGGTCAGCAAAGCCGAGGAGAGCAAGCAGAGGGACAGGTGAAGAAGGAATGTTCCTCGGGGAAGAGCAGCTCTTTACCGAGGCCACTGCTTTTCCTTGTCAGTCAGAGGGACGTAGATGACGCCCATGAGCTGGGTCTCCACGATGTGCCCGTCGCTGGTTTTGTCGTACTGCATCAGGACCTGGTTCGCTTCCTCGGGCCCAACGGGCAGGATCAGCCTCCCACCCGGCTTCAGCTCGTTCAGCAGCTGGGAAACACAGGAATCCGAGTCAGCGCGTCGGAAACGACACCACAACCTTCCTAAGAACTTTTCTAATCGTTTTAATGAGTCATAATTGCCACTGCAGCCGGCATTTAGCGAGGCTTCTCTTCAAGGCTGCTGTTGTGGGAGAACATGGTTTGGGAAAATTGCTGGAACTTTAAGCTGTGCTAGAACAACTGTAACCAGCCTTGACGTGCTTCAATGAACAAAGCCTGGGGGAGAGTAATATTGGATATATTGCTGAAACTGGACACAGGGAATGCTGAATTTATAGACCACAAGGACATTTTGAAGAACCCTGAGATAAAGAAGAAACTAACAAAGACAATTCAGCAATTGTACTGAAACCCTCTCTACCCTAAAAGATAATAAAGACTGAAAATGTGCACTAATTAACATGAGAAGCGAGAAACCAATAGAAGATAGAATATGAAGTAATGAAGAGAATTATGTAATTTATAGCCCACGAACAGTAATCTCTTTGTTTGCTAAAATGTGTAACTAGTGAAAAGTTTTGAAAGTCGGTGTGCATTTAGGTGGAATATCCCCATGCACCTGGTGCTTTGAATAAAGCAATGCCTCCTTCCTAATACTGAAAATAGTTTGATTTATCCCGAGATAGTTTGATTTATCCCAATATCAGAGAGTTTGATTTATCCCGATGTTTTTGGCAACGTGCAGAGCTAAAAAAAAAGAAAGAGACACTGGGAATGAGCCATGCTGGAAAGGTCACGACAAATAAGAAGCTTCTAGTGGTTCCCTAATTAGTTTTCTCACAAAAAAAAAAAAAAAGAGGTAGAGACACCCAGCAGGGCCACTCTCACCTCCTTGGGGACGGTCGCTGCGGCCGCTCCAACGTGGATCGCGTCGTACGGAGCCTCCTCGGGGTATCCCTGCCTGCCGTCTCCAACTGCGGGAGGGAAAACACGCGGGGAAGATTTGTTCTCACAGCAGCTCAGAGCATCGACACAGACTGGAACGACTTCGGGGAGCAGAGCCGAGGCGTTCCCGGAGAGGACAACCCCAGGATGGCACGGAACTCACCCACGAGCTTCACGCGGCCGGAGCTGAGCAGCGTCGGATCATCTTCCTGGACGTTCCGGATGGATTCATGCACCAGCTCCTTGATGTGCTCCACTCCCACAGCTTTCCCTGTCGGGCCAGTCTGGAAAGATCAACATCAGTCCAACACCTGGCACCTCCCATATCAAAGAGAGGTGTTTGATGGAGCAGGTTTCAGTGGGAATTGGAGAGCTGGCATAAGCTCCAGAGCACAGTTTCTGAACAAGAGGTGCAAATACTCCTGATTTTAAGGCTGAGGAATCTATCATCTGCTTAAGGGATACACAGACACTGTCCACGGGGATTCCCAGTAGTCCTTAACTGCCAAGTCTCCAAGGATTCCCAGTAATCCTTCATTGCCAAAGAAATCATTATTTGGTAGAATTAGCTGCTTCCATGGCAAGTTCTTGACTAATTATCCTCCTGAGTAACTTGACCAGCTTTCTAGCACTTCACAGCAAATAATTCCAGGAGTTTAGAAAACAAGGAAACAGACTGTGAGTAATGAAGGAACCCACAGTGGACTATCCACAGTGGATAAACACACAAAATATCTCATGGCAGATACAGCCTCCATTAGATCCCAAAGAAGTATTTGTTCTCAGTACAAGCTGGTCTGGGAAGAGACTCCTCTTCCTCCCACCTCCTGCTCTCCCCACCAAAAGCACATTCCCGCTGTCCAAGCTGGGAATGGGGTTCTGTGAGCTCACCATCCTGGCAAAGCACGCAGTGAGGTATCCACTTCCAGATCCCACATCCAGCGCCTTGGCACCTTCCACCAACTGATCCTTGAGCAGCTCCAGGGCGTGGGCATGCTGTGTGGACATGGAGGTGGGAAACAGCCCGGGTTAGTCTCCTCTCCTACCCCTTTTCCTTGTTCTCTGATTTAATCCCAGCACACCTGGCCTTGTGCCTGACACTTCCAGAGCGAAACTCAAGGGTCAGACCTGGAAGGTCTTTTGGCAGAGCCACACTTAGGAAGAGGCTCAGGAATTACATGTGAAACAGTGAGGGAAAAAATGGACAACACAGAATTCCTACCTAAGCCCACTTTTAAAGCAACTGAAAGATTATAAGGGAAACTCCTCTTAAAAACAAAAAATCCCTAAAGAAACAAGCAGGATAATCATGTGTTCCACTTCCGTACTTGAAGAAAAATGAAATATAAAAAGGGAAATAAACAATTCCTTCCATTTCTGTTTGAAGTGAAGAGTTTTCATCTTACCATGTGTGGGGCGCTGATCGTGGCCTTGTAGCCTAAAAGGAAACAGGTGACAAAGTTGTTTGATAAAGAATAAAATTGCCCATGGGAACAGTCCTTAGTTCTCCCACACCTTCCCCTAAAAATAGAATTTCACAGAATCCCAGGATGGGATTGGAAGAGACTTTAAAGCTCACCTCATTCCACCCCCTGCCATGGGCAGACACACCTTCTACTAGCCCAGGATGCCCAAGCTCCACCCAACCTGGCCTTGCACACTTCCAGGGATGGGGATTCCACAGCTAGAGCTTTTCCCAAAATGACTCACCAATGGATTGAGGAGAATCCATGTACGGGTAATACTTGATGTAGTGACCTCTGTCCGTGGCCAACAGCACATCGAAGACTCGCTGGGACTTAACAATCCCTTTTTCTGGGAAGGAAGGAAGAGAGACAGGCAGGACTGAAACCCTCAGCGCACCAGCAAGAAGAGATCTGGAAGGGGAAGCACATTCAGGGAGTTTGTGGATCTGGGGGAATTCAGCCTCAATGTGAGAGGGACAGAAAACAAATGCCAATGGAAGGACATCCTTTCCCATTTCCACTATGGTCCCAGCCAGCAGCCCATCCCCAGAGGGTGGTGGTGACCTGCATCCACATTTCTGGCACTGCCACGTGTAATGGGAGAGAAATGGAGTCACGTTGCACGCCAAAAAGCAGAGACTCCAGCTCAGGTTTCCACAGTGAACTCAAGAGCGACTGCTGCAGAGACATTCCACGTCCCTTCCAGCCTTTCTGGGCGAATTCTGGCAGGGACTAACCAGCTCCAGCGGCAGGGGAAGCTCAGAGCTATCTCTGTGTGTGTCCCAGCCCACTGTCCGGAGCGGAGCTGGAGCGCCAGGCACCAGGAGCTCCGACCCCCGGAGCTGAAGACACAGCCTGGGTGTCCAGGACACTCGGCAGCACCCACAGGCTCCGAGGTGCAACTCTTTAAAGGGCGTCACACACTTCCAGAGGCAGGGAAGGAAAGCGTGCAGAGGCTTTCCTGCCCTTTCTGGCGTAACACCTTGTCTCTGGTTATAAATAGAACGAGTTCAGGCTGGGACAAAGGCCGAAATTCAGGAATATCAACCCCAGCCCTTCAGAGTGAACAGCGTCACACTAAACATCCGTACACTGGCATTAAATATCCGTACACTGGCATTCCAGCGGATCCTGCTGGGACTCACTGTAGAGGTTGTTGACCAGCTCCGCGTGTGTCTTCCCGCTGGATGTCCAGGCCATGGTCCGGGCGAACAGCAGCCCCATGAGTGCCAGCACCGCGCGGCGCGGCAGGCGGCTCATCCCACGGGCACAGCAGCGGCCTGCGGAGAGAAGGGGGTTCAGAGCCACCCCGAAACTCCCCCTTTCCCGCTGTCCCGCCCTCACTAAACCGCTGGGAATGTGACACGGGCTCACCTGCGCCGCCCGGGACAACTTCCGCCCTTCCCCAACATGGCGCCGCGGCGGCGTCAGCGCGCCCCGCCCACCCTGCCGATCCCCCGCGCTGCGGACCAATGGGCGCCTTGTTCCTGCCGGCGGCGCGCGGCGATTGGTCAGCCCCGGGCGCTGGTGACGCGCAGGGTGAAGCTGCGGCGGCTTCCCGTGTGCGCCGTGCGGTGAGTGCGGGACCGGCGCGGCCCCTCCGCGGCCCGGAAAGCAGGGGGGACACGGCGTTCCGCGGGAAGGGGCGGAGGGAGTGAGGTGCCGGCGGGGGACCGCCCGTCTGTCCCCCAAGGGGTCTCCCTGGGTGCGACACCCTGGAGCGTGTCACCGCTTCCCGGAGGGCGGCCAGGCTTCCCGGTGGAATGAGAATTCCCTGAAACGCCCGCCGATGTGACTTGGGCCGAGGGAGACTGACGGGGGAGGCCTGGGCGGGGGTTTCTGCTCGGTGCTCACCGTTTATTCCCCCATCCCAGGACTCCAGGATGAGGATGATGGAGAGCGCGGACTCCGTGGTGCCCCGGTCCAGCGAGGACCTCTGGGCCGAGATCTGCTCCTGTCTGCCCCATCCCGAGCTCAAGGACAGCGGCGATGCCTTCACAGACTCCTTCATGGACTCCTACGCCCAGGGCAGCGGAGCCGGTGGCTCTTCCCGCCCCAGCCTGAAGCCCTGGGCACCCCTGAACGACTCCGAGGTGTACCTGGCATCCCTGGGTGAGTGTCCCCCGCCGCTGAGGGGCCTGGTGACACCTCTGTCTGTGTGGCAGTGCTCTGGTCAGAAGGTCCCCCAGCTGTTTCGTGGAGAATCTGACTCCTTTCCCCTACTGCACTTGTGGCAAATGTGAAGCTCACTCAGAGCTTCTTCAGCTTTGCCACAGAAAGCAACTTTTCATCAAGTAAAAGCTAAAAAATTTGGGCTTTACTCAGTAAGTCAGAGGCTGCACACACAGCAACAAGGCAGGAGGAAGGGGTGGCAGAAGTGGATCTTTAAGCTTTTGTTTCTGCTAAAGCTTCCATCTTGCCTTCACTGCTGTTTTGCAGTGCACTAAGCAGTGCAATGAGTGTTGATTTATATTCCAGTTTGCATGAAAATTACAGGAACTCAGTGCCTGCGAGTTCTGTGCCCTCCTGTGTGATTTCATGGAAACTGAACAGTAACTGTTATTAAAATCCAAAATGGGCAGAGTTAACTGATTTGCATAAACCTTATTTCCTTCAGAAGCATCACCTAAAAATATCATCTTGTGTGTATGCAAGAAATAGAATCGTGCAGGCTTGAAATACAGGGGTGGAAATGACTTTTAAAATAGAAATTAGCCTTGAAAAGTTAACCCACCTTACTTTTTTTTTGATAGAGAAGTCCAGATCCTTCTCTTCTTTCCCTTCAGGAAAAAAAAAAAAGAAATCAACAAAAATTAAATAAAAAGACCCCTCCTCTCTTCACAGAGAGAAGACTGATGAGGATCAAGGGCTTGTCCCAAGAGGTGACCTCCAAGGACATGCTGCGCATGCTGTCCCAGGCCAAGAAGGAGTGCTGGGACAGGTTCCTGCAGGAGAAGTTCGAGGCGGAATGTTACGTGGAGGGCCACGACGCTGACGAGAGGTAACGGGCCAGTCGGGGAGAAGGGGTCAATACTCACCTCTTAAAACCCAGAGTAAGGGTTTGTCAGGCCATTACAGGGAAATACCACCTCCCTGCAGCTCCCAGAGGCTGCCACGGGCTTTCTGAAGGATCTTGGGCTGGCCTAGAGGGAACACACGGAGCAAGTGGGGTAGGGAAGGAATGGAGCAGAGGAAGGAATGTCCCGTGTGTCTCAGGTTGGGATTTCGGGGTCATTACAGGGTTGGTGCTAGTCCTGGGATGAGATTTCCCCTCCATGCCACTCTTACAGTGCTTCTGCTCTCCCACCCATTACCCTCTCATGGACGATGAAGGAATTAAGATGAGAGCACTCTTCCTCAGCAATCTCCCATTCCCAATCACATGGAACGCTCTCCAAATTCCTCCTTTCTCAGCTGACATTTTCCATGATTGCTTCTGGCTGACAATCTCTCCCTTGAAGAAAATCTATTTAAGCCAGTTTGGGAAATTAACTATGAAAAATAATCCGTGTTTATAAGGAGGTTTCAGAGTCTTTCTCTGGCCAGTTGACTTCAGTGGGATTTATATTTAAAACCAAGCCTTTATGTGCTCTTTCTACTGTTTTTAAAGGCTGGGGATGTTATCCATGAAAGAATTTTAGTCCCTAGAATTTGACTATGAAGTTAGAGGTCACTCCTGAATGGTGCTGAAGTTTTGAGTCCCACCCACCAATGTAATTAAACAAGCCTTAACTTTTAAGCACGCAGAGCTACGTTATTAGATTTTTAGGGTTATATATGTTCTTTAGCCTTCTGGTGTTATTAACGCTCACACAGTTTTGGATGTGCTTCCTGCCTTGGTTTTGTGCCCTTCTCTTCCCTCCTGTGTTTCCTGATCTTCATCACAAAGAGGCAGTTGGGGGCTTGGTTGGTTTTAACACAAGGTTGTTTTTTTCTTCCAGCCCAGAAAGCTGGAAATGCATAGAATGGTTTGGGTTGGAAGGGACCTAAAAGGCCATCTCATTTCACCCCCTGCCATGGACAGGGACACCTTCCACTATCCCAGGTTGCTCCAAGCCCTGTCCAACCTGGCCTTGGACACTTCCAGGGATGGGGCAGCCACAGCTTCTCTGGGCAACCTGTGCCAGGGTCTCACCACCCTCACAGGGAAGGATTTCTTCCCAATATCCCGTCTAACCCTCAGTTTGATTGAGTTGGAATCTTTGGCATCAGAGACAGAGAACTTCCAAATGTGTAAAGGTTGAAAAGAATCCTTTTTGAAAAGAATCCTTGAAAAGAAAAATCAGAGCATAAAGCTTTTCTAACCGGAGTGTATAAAGCCCAACTGCAGCAGAATGGCTTTGTAGAATGCCAGATTCTGCTTGCTCCTCTGGGATACGGATCAATTCAATGCTAGACTTCACCTGTGGGAACAGGAATACCCGCAGAGGGGCAGGGATTACCTGTGGAGGCTTTTCCCATCGCTCCTTCCGCGCGTTCCTGCGAGGCTTTGTTGCTGCCTGCTCTCAGTGTGTGTCTCTCTGTCCCCCAGCACTCTGGAGCACCTGAAGCGCTGGCTGCAGCCTGACAAGGTGGCCATCAGCTCCGAGGAGGTGCAGTGCCTCATCCCGCCGGAACCGCAGCCGGAGAAGCAGGAGAACGAGGAAGAGCCTCCGGCTGCGGAGCAGTGAGGGCCCCCAGAGCTGCCTCTTGCCCCAGCCCTCAGGAAGTTGTTCCCAGCCATAGTGATAACAGGGAGGAGGGCACAGAGCAAATTGTCAGTGGTTTAAGAAGCAAAAAGACCCCCCCCAACACACGGAATTCCAGCTCTGGAGCTCCAGAGACGGCGACTGACGTCGGTAAGGACAAGAGGGAGCGCCTGTGACACAGCTGAAGTGAAACCCCACTCTGATCTTCTCCCAGCCTGCAGCCACCTCATCATTCCAGCCTGGATGTGGGTTGTTTGGAATCCACCAGGAGACACATTAAACAAAATAAACAAAGCAGTTGTTGAGAGGGATCAGAAAACACCACGGTCTAGAGCAGAGCAGAGAAAACCACTGAATCGCTTCTTCCTGTCTTCTTCCTGTTTATTACTCACTTGGGCATTTTTTTCCTCTCCTGCCAAGTCTACTGGGGTGTTTTCTCCAGATCTTCCCTGTTTCAGTGTGAGTTGCCCCAGGAAGACAGATCCTTTTCACCCCTGTGAATTTTGGACCCTGCAGGAAGCTCTCACTGCAATCAATAAATTGATGGTGGCATTGATGTTGTACCTATTTCACATTCCCTAATACCCCCTAATATCCTACCTTATTACCCAAACTCTCTATTATAGACTGGAAGGGGAGTATTTTTCCTCTTGTTTGTCATTTTGTACCTGTTCTTTATCCCTTCAGCCTCCCCAAAGAGAGTCAGCTGAGATTCTGTATCAAGAAACCAAGAGTGATAACCAGGGAGGCCACAAACAGCTGCTTTTCATCACAGACTTGCATAGAATTCTCTGAATTGAAGTACATTTAGTATTTAATTGGGTTTTTTTACCCCGTTTAGCTCTGCAGAGGGTTATTTCCCTTTACTAATCGAAGAATCTGTAATTTCTGTGCTGATTTTTGGTTGATCCGTGTGTTCCACCTCGGCACCGACACTGGGGGTCGGTAGAGGGAAGCAGCACACGCCTGTCAGAGCTCCTGAAGAGAAATTGTGGCTCAGGAGTTTATCCACACCAGATTCATCCCGTGTTCATTATGTACCTGTTTGGAAATACATTTTTGAGAGTAAATTCTTTCTAGACCTTCCCAGTTTCCTGTCTCTGTGCATAAATGGTGCTGCTCTCCCGGTCACCTCTGGACAGTTAATGTTATTTTATATATTCCTAAAGGTACCTGAGAAAGAAGTGCATCCTAAAGAACTGTACCTGGAAGAACTCCAGATCCACATCACCGACCATTTCCTTTGGAGAAAGGATCTGAGGGAGCAGCTATTACCATTTCATTTGTAAAAATAATACCCATTCCAGGATTCTCTGACCTGCTCCGTGGAAACATGTAGGACAAAAGAAAATCAATCCAACTGATCACTGCAAAGAGTAAACAATAATTTCCTTAAATTAATTCATTCCTTAGATAGAGCTTTTTTTCCTCCCCCCATATATAATAAATATAATTTAGAATTCTATTACTCTAATTATAGATCATTAAATGATAATATGAAATATAGACTTGGGGTGGGTCTGTACTTATATCACCATTAAAAAACCCTCAAAAACTCCTTTACAAGATCACTGAAACTGTGAAAAGCAGCGTGGTATGTCTGAGCAGTGTTGTTGCAATTGGTGATGCCACACATGGTTTGAGTAGCAAGGACTTTACCTCCAAGTAAAGTGGTTTATTTTAGGAAAAACAAACTCAAACAAATTTTGGGTACAACCAGCAGCCTCACTAGGATTGGTTTTTGCTCCCGCAGCAACGCCAGCCTTCCTATCTGTGGAAATAATTCCCACAGAGGAAGGTCACAGAACCATTTAGGTTGGAAAAGCCCTCTGAGATCATCCAGTCCAACCCCAGCAGTGCCAAGCCCACCACTAAACCGTGTCCCCAAGAGCCACATCCACACAGCTTTTAGATCCCTCCCAGGGCTGGTGAATCCACCACTGCCCTGGGCAGCCTGTTTTTAACAATTTAACCCAAAAGAGCCATCAGTGACAGAAAAGGCCAATTCTCAGCCAGTGCAGGCAGATCTGCAGCACTGGAACCTGAAAGCATCGCATCCAACCCACGAGGCACAAGCACAGACCTGCCAGCAAGACACAGGACATGATTTCCCAGGCGTGAGAAATGAGTAATCACAGAGGAAACATCAGCCCCCCTCCTCTTTGTACCTGTTAAAGACAATGTTTTACCTTTTTTCCCCACAGGAAGCTGCTTTTCTGTGCCCCCTCAGAGCCCAGGGAGATTTGGATCACCCCGGTGTGGTGACACAGCCCCAGCCTGCTGGGGCTTTGCTTTCCAAATGGGGCAGGATGAAATGAAATCTAACCCAATTCACCTGCTGCCTCATCAGAGCAAGGTGAGGGCAGGGCTGCAGGTACTGCCTGGCTGGGGGAGCACTTTGGGCAGCCAGGAAAGGCTCCCACCCACCCAAACAGGGGAAAAAGGGTGTTCACCATGAGCTAGGGCTGAGGGAATCCATCCCGCAGAAGCATGAGCTGGCAGCACCCTGTGGTGATGCTGAGAATCACAGAATCCCAGAATAGTTTGGGTTGGAAGGGACCCAAAAGGCCATCTCATTTCACCTCCTGCCATGGGCAAGGACACCTTCCACTAGCCCAGGTTGCTCCAAGCCCTGTCCAGCTTGGCCTTGGACACTTCCAGGGATGGGGCAGCCACAGCTTCTCTGGGCAACCTGTGCCAGGGCCTCCCCACCCTCACAGGGAAGGATTTCTTCCCAATATCCCATCTAAACCTTCCCTCCTTCAGCTTGTGGCCATTAAATATCCCATCCTGCTTTGGAGTTGACAAGCTCTCAAGGATCTGGATTAGGAAAACCTGCGGTTCTTTCTGAAAACCACCCTGGCGACAAAGGAAAGGATAAAATCACAGCCAACTGATTCCTGTCAATCACCTGTACAGGGTGGGAGGGACACTGGGATGCTTCCAGCATCTCCAGCTCTCCCACTGGGAACCGTCAGGGTGGGTTGCAGCTTTCCAACCCATTCTTGTATCCCTGAGCCAAGCCCCTGGTGCAGGGCCTACGAGCTTTGGGAATAAGAGTGATTTTTCCTGCAGGGTCTGGAAGCAGCAAAGATTAGGTCACAGAAGGTTTTTCCAGGCTAAGCCCATGCAGAGGGAAGAGCTTCCAGTGCTGCAGCCAGGTCACTCTGGCCATGGCACAGCCAGATAGGGATGGAGCCTGTGGCTGCCTTGGGGTGCACGTGCCCTGTCCCAGGCACCCAGTGACTCCTCATCCTGCTGGCAGCTCCAGAGCCCAGCTCTCCTCCCAAACCAGCCTCTGGCTCTCCTTATCTGACTGTTCTGCTCTTTAAAATTAACAGCAGCTCTCGCCAGGCGCTGATACAGAGACAAAGATGATTTTTTTTTCCTGCTGATTATTTGATAGGGACGAGCCCCTGGCTCAGCTCGGGCAGCTTTAATAACCAGCCCACACCAAAACTCTCAGTTTTGCAGAACTTCAGTGACTGCTCTGACAATTTCCACCCCTCTTACCCCCAAAAAATACCAATGGATGATGAGTATTTTTAATTTTCCACTATTTAAGTAAGATATGAGGGAAAAGATGAAGAAATCTTGGGTGTGGAATCAGAGACTTCTAAAGGAAATGGAGCTGATGGGCAGTGACTGGCTCTGGATCCGGATCACGGTAAAAATCCATTAGCCCTGGACTGCACACTTATCCCAGGGAAAATCGGAATTATTGCCTCGGGCTTCAAAGAGATGCCTGTGGAGAAGCAAAGGTTTGGGCTTCCTTCAAAGGAAAAAGAAAAGAAGAAGAGCTAAAAATGACCAACAGTGTCCAGCCCTGGTTCCCGTTCTCATGTGGGGCAATTCCCAATGGCTGGACTACCCTCAGCCCACCCTGGCCTTGCCCCACAACCACTTTTCGGTCGCCTCCGGGATCCCCCGACGGGGCGGCCGCTGCCGACCCCCGAGAGCCCCGCGCGGTCCCTGCGCCCTCCCCGTCCCCCCTGCGCCTTCTCTTCCTTTGCAGCCTGGGGAATGCCCTGGATGAGGCCCCGCAGCCCCTCCCGGGGCTCCCCGCCGGGCCGGGGGGCGGGATGTGGCTCCACGCGCGATGCGGGGCGGAGGGATGTGCGCGTCCCCCCCAGTACCTGCGGCACCGCGGGTGGGAACGTCCTGTCCCTCCGGGGCTGAAAGGCTCAGGAAGCGGGAGGGAAAAAAAAAAACAACCAAAACCATAAAAAGACAAAACAGGACAAAAAAACCCCCCAACAACACAAAAATCCCGCTGAGAGCGGCGGTGCCGGAGCCTCCCGGTGAAAATCACCCCGCGAAGGGAACGCTCCTCCTCATCCTCACGGGAACAGCGGCGGGCAGCGGGCGGCTCCCAGCCCGGAGCACCACGGACCCCAGGCAGGTAAGGGCGCTCCGGGACCGGGGCTGGGACAGCGGGGTCCCTCAGACAGACCGGGACCACCCCAAAACCCAGACAGAGCCGCGGGGTTCAGCTTGTACCGGAGTGAGAGCGGGACCCTGGCGAAGCACAGAAGGGCTGGTTCGGCTCCTGCGGGGGCATGAAGCAGAATTAAAGAGTTCAACCGAGCTTCAGAATTTTCATTCTCTAATAGTTAATGAGCATTTTGGCTCCTCGGCTGCAAGTTTCCGGATGATTTTTGTGTTCCCGCCCCGGGCAGGGCACGGGGACCCGGAGCTGTGATACCACAGCGTGTGCTCTGCCTGTGCAGCCGGGGTGCAGAAAACCACAATATCCCTCGGTTAATTACAGGGGTTACTTAATTAATGCTGGTTTGACTCTCCACTGGGGGAAAAAGACTGTTCAGATCCTAGTGAGGGGAATGAAACATTAATTTTGACACCGTGGGGTCCAAGAGAAGGGTCCTGGAGGGGAATTCTTCATTTCCATACACTTTCTGCTGGCATATATTTGACCACATCCCCTCTGTGCTTCTGTGAGCGGGTTTGTGGAGGTTCCCAGGGAACCAGGCATTCCCTTCCTCCTTCCATCCCTCCCAGCCCAGCTGCTACAGGGAAAGACAGGAGAAGCCGAAGTTCGTGGATGGTGGAGAAATAACTTAAGGGGGTGAAATAACCCAGCGAGATGGAGGAATGGGGCTGGCAGGGAGAGACACGGGAGTGCAGGGGATAGAAAGGACCCTCCTGCCCAGCAGGGTGGGCGGAGGCTGACGGGTCGGGGTGGAATTAACTGGGGTAAATGAAAAGCGAGAAATGCAGAACTGCCTTTTGTTTCTGCCTCCATGAGGCTTCCGGAGCTGCTTTCCGGGTCCTGCTGCCCCAAACTGGCAGCTCCCCGCAGATCTGGGCTGGCTGATTAACCATTTCACAGCCAGCTTCCCAACTTTGCTCCCTGCCAGGGGCTGTGCAGGAGGACCTGGATGCTGGGGACGGCTCCTTCTGCCCAGAAGTTCAACCCACACGCGTTTCTCTCCCCTCCAGGGCTCACAGGATCATCTCTGCTTGACTTCGAGGTGTGGAGAAGCTGCATCAGCCACAGGGGCTCCCATGGCTCAGCTGCCCAACGACTCCTGGCACAACAGCACAGTCCCCCTCTTCACCGGCCTGGACCTGCTCCTGGAGCTGAAGCCGCTCTTCATCCCGCTCTACGCCACGCTGGTGGCCGTGGCCTGCACCGGGAACCTCTTCCTCATCCTGCTCATCGCTCTCACCAAGAAGCTGCACTGCACCACCAACTTCCTGATCGGGAACCTGGCGGTGGCCGACTTCGTCATGTGCCTGGCCTGCGTCCCCCTCACCGTGTCCTACGCCTTCGAGGCGCGGGGGTGGCTCTTCGGCGCATTCATGTGCCACTTTGTCACCCTGCTGCAGGCTGCCACCGTGTTCGTGTCCGTGCTGTCCCTCACGGCCATCGCCATCGACCGCTACGTGGTGGTGGCGTATCCGATCCGCAGGCGGATCGGCCGCAGGGCCTGCCTGTGCCTCGTGGCCTGCATTTGGCTGCTCTCCATCGTGGCCTCCGTCCCCACCTCGCTGCACACCCACTACCTGGACCTCAACGCCATCGGCCACGACATGATCATCTGCGAGGAGTTCTGGAAGCACGAGGAGAGGGAGCGGCTGCTCTACTCATGTCTGATGCTCCTCCTGTCCTACCTGCTCCCGCTGCTGGCGGTGTCCGTCTCCTTCTGTGCCATCACCTACCGCCTGCGCAGGAGGAACGTGCCGGGCGCTGCCTATCGCTGCCAGGACAAGTGGACCAGGACCAAGCAGAAGACCTTCCGGGTGCTCACCGTCTCCGTGGTCTGTTTTGCCATCTGCTGGCTCCCTCTCCAAGTGGTCAACTTCATCCGGGACATCGACGAGGAGTTCACCATCCTGGACAAGAGGTACGTCAACATCATCCAGGTCTCGTGCCACCTGATTGCCATGAGCTCCGCCTGCTACAACCCTTTCATCTACGCCTCCCTCCACGACAAGTTCTGGTTCCACCTCAGCAGCTACTTCTACCGCAAGAAGAAGAGCTCTGGCACCGTGTCCTGCAAGGCTTCCCGGTTCAACACCTGCTCCACCCTGGCAGATGCTCCCACCAGCGCCTCGGATAAGATGGCTTTGCAAATGAGGTTATCTTAGCTGGAGGACCTCAAGGGAGAGGGTTTGCTTTCGGACCTGGCGGGCGCTTCGCTGTACACTGGGTGTGGGAGGTGGCTGCTGGTTGGGCTGTTTTGTTGCTGCTCCCAGAAAAGTCTCTCGTGCCTGGAAAGGCAACAAAACTGACAGGTTTCATGTCCTAGAATTATAGAATGGTTTGGGTCAGAAGGGACCTTAAAGCTCTTCTCATTCCAACCCTCCTGCCACGGGCAGGGACGCCTTCCTCTAGCCCAGGTTGCTCCAAGCCCCATCCAACCTGGCCTTGGACACTTCCAGGGATGGAGAAAGTGTCCTCATCACTTGAGCAGCTCAAGGATATTTTGTTCTTTGGGGACAACAAACCAGTGCAACAACAAACACCTGAGCCAGGCAAAGGTTTTGATGAAGCAGCAGTTTCTTGGCTTGTTGGAACAGTGCAATGGATGAGTGTCGTGGCTGGGGATGGGGCATATCCCTCTATCCCAAATCTTGGCTGTGAGTAGTAGGTGTCCGTCGCCATATCTGGAGCACAAAGACTTCACCCTGTGGCATATTTAGAAGGTGGGTCAGTGCCTGAGCAAGGCAAACACTCCTTGGGCGCATTTGAAAAACTCTTTGGAGAACGCACGTCTTCGTTCTGTAGGATAAAGATTGTTCCTAAGCAACAGGCAGCACTTTGTGCCGTGGGAAGAGGTCGGCTCGCACGGGGAGCCGTGAAATTGCTGCGCATTTATTCTTTTAAATTGTGGTTTATTGGTGGGAGGACAAAGGAGGCTCAGAAACGTGCGTTCTGCAGGTGGAGATGGGGACACGTGGCCGCCGACAGCAGGCGGCTGGTTTGGAACGGGGGGGACTCCATAACCTGCCTGGCTCGCTGGAGGAGCCACCCCTGTAACCAGACCGGGCATCCCAGTTTCTCCAGCCAGATGTGCAGATGCAGCCAGGCTCATCCCCGAAATCATTGCTGCTCTGCACGGCTGAGTAGGACTCAAAAGATCCCAAGTGATGAGTTTTCTGGGGGTGATGCCTCAATCTCTGCTCCCTGGGTAGTTTAAGTGGTGTATGTCCATGTTCAGGCTCCTGTGGTGGAGGTGGGAACCCAGTGCTGGGCTGCTCTATCCCAGAAACTGCTGGATTAAGGGTGGGTTCTCCTGTCAGATGCTCCTTGGCATCTCAAGAGCCTCTGAGGCCCATCATGCAAGCAGCACACACAGAAAGCAGCATCTCCTTGCACCCACTGCCCAGCTCGGTTTTAACCTCTTGATTTCCCAGGAGAAGCCTTTGGGAACAGCCCCCAGACACCAACAGCCCCACAGCCACCACATCTCAGGGTCCCAGCAGCTGCTGGCTACCATGAGCTTCTGTGCTCTGTGGGGCTGAGGACTTTAAAGCCCCCAGGCAGCACATCCTCACCCCTGCATGGAAACTGCCCTGGTATTGCCCATCCCTCCTGCTTCAGCGAGCAGCTCAGGCTCTCCCGGGCAGACACAGCCAGCTGGATCCCAACAGGATCCCTAATCCACTCCTCTTATGCCCATCCACAAGCTGCTGCTCGCTCACCTTCCTGCTGAGACCTCCATGGTGATCCTAGAAGGACCATATGATCTTGCTGTGGGGTGACCAGCGGAGACAGGGACGCATCCAATGTGATTCCAGTGACCTCTATCCCATTCCCACAGAGCAGCTCCCTCCTTGGCTTCCTGTATCTTCCTTGGGGCTGGGCTGGGCTGCTTATCCCAGAGGAGCCAAGCAAAGCCCTGATTGTCCCTCCTGTAATAAAGGCTTTAAAAGTTCAGGCTGTGTGTGTGTTGGTCTGAATCCCACAAAACCAAGAAATCTTTGACTGCAGGTCAGTCACATCACAGGAGGATGCTGACTTGGATGTATTTAGCTCTGTCCCCATATTTGTCTGATATTTCTTCCCAATATCCCACCTAACCCTGTCCTCTGTCAGTTTGAAGCCATTCTCCCTTGTCCTCTCACTACCAGTCTTGATTCCTTCTCTCTTTATTTCCTCCCATCACAACCTCTATTACTTCACTCTTAATTAAAACCCCTAAATTGCCCTAAATGGCTCTTCTTGCCCTTTTTTATCCTCCCAGCTCTGGCTCAGAGACATTATTGTGACAAGGTGGGTGGCTTGGAAAGAGGAAACACCCACACACACACTCATCCCCATCACTGCAACCATTTATCTGCAGGATCATTTAAAAATCCATATATCCATCCTGGAGAACTGATCCACAAAGAGGATGAGGTTTCCTCTTCTGTGTTTCCAGACTAGACTGGAATTTGCAGGTACTGAGCACTGGGAGAGCAAATCCCCACCCTCGGGTCCCCCTGCTGAGATGTTTTGCTCATTCCCCAAATTACCCTGCAGGAAAAGGGAAAACACTGTTTTGGGGGGGTGGATTAAAAGCTGAGTGACTTCTGAGAATAAACCCAGAAATCCCGGAGCTGCCGTCTCCGATTCACAGAAACCGGATACATAAAGGAGAGCAGTGTTTGTTTTCTTAATGGAAGTAAATTAATTAGATAAACTGGGGAGAAAAACATGCTTGAAGGCTGATTCTGCAGAGCTTTCCTCGCTGGGAGGTTTTCTACCAGGAACCTGTGGGTATAAAGGGGATATTTCTGTTAAATCATCCTCAGTTATTAATAGTTTTGCCCAATATTCTGCCTGAGCACTTTTCCTCCTCACAAACTCTCTTGTCGGTTGAAAAATGGTTAATAATGAATGGACTCTGTGATCTTAAAGGTCTTTTCCCAACTAAGCAATTCCATAATTCTATGATCCTCTTTTCTACTGGCATTTGGTGCCTGTAGCTCTCCCACCTGCCAGGACACAGCCCAGGAACATCCAAGATCATCTGTTTGGAGTTGTCATTGACTTGGAAACTGGGAATGCTGCATTTAGGTGGATCTCCATCTGCTTTTTGCTCACACAATCCTCCCTAGATTGATTATAATTAGTGATTTCAATAGCCCAGATATGACTTCAGCCTCCCTGTTTGTTTTTGTCCCCCGTGCCCACCCTCCAACCACCCTCCTACCTCTGGTGACTTGGTGGCTTCTTCCTCACACTCAGGAGCCCAGGATGCTGACACTTCCCTGAGTTGTGTGAGGGCACCTCCAAGGACCACCTTCCTGAATGACAACCCCCAGCATCAGCTCTGGGCAGGGATTTTTAAACTGAATGAGGACAGGGATAGATGGGATACAGGGAAGAAATCCTTCCCTGTGAGGGTGCTGAGGCCCTGGCACAGGTTTGCCCAGAGAAGCTGTGGCTGCCCCATCCCTGGAAGTGTTCAGGGCCATGCTGGATTGGGCTTGGAGCAACCTGGGATAGTGGAAGGTGTCCCTGCCCATGGCAGGGGACTGGAATGAGATGAGCTTTAAGGTGCCTTTCAACCCAAACCTTTCCAAGATTCCATGATTCTGTGTCTTAGCACCTGGCATGGAAGAACAACCATACCTCCTCCCCAAACCTCCTCATTTCTCATCTCATTTCTAATCTCTCTCTGCCTTGGGCTGTTTAGAAAGTTGGAAAACTTCCCTCAGTGTAATGACCCTGCCAATGGGGTTTTCCTCATCAGAAACCTCCAAAAGGGAAAATACTGGAGACCAACAGTGGGATTTAACAGCAGGAAGCACCTGGGCCATTTAGGCTCAGCCTGTTTAGATGTCTACAGCTCTAAGGGGCAGACAATGTAATATATTACAGTGCTGTTCTTTCGAAAGCACTCGAGAGATTATTATTTGAAAGAGCTTACCTACATGCAAGGTATTATTCCCACTACTTGATCCCCATCCAGGTTTCTCCCACGGCTGCAGATGATGAGGCCCTTTGTCCTGGCGCTGTAGAATGAATCCTGATGAGCAAGGACCAACGCTGCTTCCATGTGTATTCTTGGAAATTTCCTTCTTTGTCTCCTAATCAAGCGCAGCAAACAAAATTAGCCTGGTAATTTTCCACTGGTTTTAGCCTCCCCCCCCCCCCCTTGCTGTGTTTGTTCTGTCTGGATGTCATCAGTGATGACAAAACAGCCAGAACAGAGGAGCTCCTCGGCTGAGCCGGGATTGTCGGGCAGATTTTGTTTGTGGAGCTGGAAAATGCTTAGAAAATGTTGGTTCATTTTGTCTCATTACTGTTATTTCCTGGTTTATTAAGAATAATATTCCAACCCAAGCCACCGCTTCTGATTTCCTTGATAGGTCTTGCAAAATACCTTTCACATTTCTCTGAGCAGATTCCATGGGCTGTGCCCAGCTGTGCCCAACTCTTTCTTCCTGGGCCTTGGCTCCAGCTAAAGAGGCAGATTTGCAACATGTACATGAGTAAATTAGGCTTATTTTCACTTATTTTGGCTAAAAACACAGTTGCTACAGCTCAGGCCCCAGTAATGATCCTGGAATGGTTTGAATTGAAAGAGGCTTTAAAGCTCATCCAGTGCCACCCCCTGCCATGGGCAGGGACACCTTCCACTAGCCCAGGTTGCTCCAAGCCCCGTCCAACCCGGCCTTGGACACTCTGGGGCTGGATCCCATGGGATCAGACGGACTGAACCCCTCCCCATGGATGTCACCTCTCTGTGAACCGCTGGATCCTTCAGCAGTGGTGAATTATTGAAAGCGCCGCAGCTGATTTATGGACGCGCCCGCTTCCGACTCATCCCGTATTCCCCCGCTGCCTCCGCTCGCCGTGAGACGCTCCGGAGCACTCACATTTTAATTTCTGTAAGCGTGGCAGGCTCCTGCTGCAGCAAATGAACCAAGATTTCCTAAAGCCCAGTTTACTTCTCATCCATCAGTTTTATCCGTCATCCCGCTCCCGCAGCCGATGCCAAGAAGCTCCTTAATCACACGCCACGGTCACTGTGTCCTCGCTCAGGGAAAAATCTGGCACTTGCCAGACTTAATTCAACATTGTCCCCGAGCTGGCGATGAGGTGCTTTGTGCCAGTCCCAAAAACCTACAGCCACATCCCAGCTCGGCGCAACCGCCCGGGGCTCTCCCGCAGGCCAAGGATGGAGCAGGGCTGGGAGACACCCAAAAATCCCACACCCAAAGCATCACTTTTACTGTGTATTAATATCCAGTTACGGGAGCAATGAGGGAGACCCAGACATTTCCTGCAGCAGGGACGGGGTCATCTCACATCCCCTGGCAGCAAAGACCTCGGGGTGATGCTCCAGAACCCCCTACAGGGTCCCACCACAGCAGGGTCCCAGGCAGGGGTGGTGGGTGGCTGTTTGCACCCCAGGATCACTCCAGCCTGTCTCCTGGCTCTGATTAGGGTAATTAGGCCGAGGCCACGCGCAGCGTGCGGGTGCCGGACGCTAATTCCATAAAGGAGGCGAGCGCTGTGATTGCCGCGGAGGGAAGTGCTGCCGAGCGCTCCTGGTTGCCATAGGAACCCATCAACCCCTGGGAAAAGCCAAATTGCTGGACCGAGTCGGCTCCCTCGGCGGTGGCAGTGGGGGGCTCTGCCTGGTGACACCTCTCCTGCTCCAGGAAGCAGGAATGGAACCAGGGCAACCTCAGGGGGTGAAACGTAGTGGTGGGGATGCCTGGAACTCCAGACAGACCTTAGAGCCCTTTCCTGTCCCTAAAGGGGCTCCAAGAGAGCTGCAGAGGGACTTTGGACAAGGGCTTGGAGTGACAGGACAAGGGGGAATGGCTTCCCACTGCCAGAGGGCAGGGTTAGATGGGATATTGGGAAGAAATCCTTCCCTGTGCGGGTGGGGAAGCCCTGGCACAGGTTGCCCAGAGAAGCTGTGGCTGCCCCATCCCTGGAAGTGTTCCAGGCCAGGTTGGACGGGGCTTGGAGCAAGCTGGGCTAGAGGAAGGTGTCCCTGCCCATGGCAAGGAGTGAATGGGATGGGCTGCCCTGGCAGGGGGATGAAAGGCCCCTGCAGGTTTTACCAGGGCTCCATTGCTGAGCCTCTGTGTGATGCTGATAAAGCTCCAAAGTTCTGGACTAGGATCCTTGCAGCTCCTTATCCCAAAAACACAGCAAAAAAAGGCATTGCAATAATCCCACTGGCTGGCAACAAGAGCATGGAGAAGCAAACATGAATTTTTAAGATTTACCTTCAAACTCAGCCCAGGGCACAGCCTGGTCCTTCTCACCACGGCAGGGACTGTCACCTCCCGGGCCACCCCGAGCCCAGAGCAATGCCTGGAGATATCCAGGCAGGTTTACTGATGCTCATCCCTCCTGTATTAACAGGAAATCTTAATTTCTCTCTTTGCCACGGGGCGTTTCCAGGCTGGCAGCTCCTTCCTTCCACCTTCCTGGGTCTCTATAATTATTTACGTGTGGGCTGTGTTTATTGGCAATTAAATGGTTCAGTGGCTCCGAGACATCAGTCTCCTCTTAACATGTTGTCTGCCAGATTGCTTCCTGCCGGCAGCCCCTGTGGGATGGGGAATTCTGCCGAGCCCTCCGGGGCTGCCTGTGGATGGGAGGGAGCAGCTGGCAGAGATCCCCCCCCGGAAAAATAACGCTCTGGCAGAGCAGGTTTGGAATTTGGAGCCAAGGGGAGGGGATGAGGTTGTGTTAAACACCGTGAAACCAGGCGGATCCGAGCCCTGGGAGAGCAGAGGGGTGGGCAGGGACGGGCTGTGCAGGAGCATCTTAGCCTGGAGCAGGGAATGGAGGGATGTGACAGCCTGGGATGGGGCCATGCAGAGACTTGTGCCTTTGCAGCTCCATCCTGTTAGTGCCGGGAATTTGCTGCCGGAGCCAGTCCTGGCTCCAAGGAGCTCTTTGTGAGCACTCAGCAGGGAAGAGTCCCCAGTCCTGCTTTCCCAACAGGACTCTGCCACAAACCAGATGTTTTTGTGGCCACCCAGAGCATCTCCAGCTCCTCACCCCCAGCGGCTGCTGCTCGGTTCCTTCCAATCCCCCAGCCCCGAAACACCCCCCAGCCCTAGAATGCCTCCCTCAATCCCACAGAACAACTTGATTCTGGATGGGGCTTGGAGCAACCTGGGCTAGTGGAAGGTGCCCCTGCCCATGGCAGGGGGTGGAACTGGATGATTTTTAAGGTCCTTTCCCACCCAGATCACTCTGGGATTCTCCCCAAAGTCGGGCTCGCTGGGCTCTCATCAGCTCCACTTGGACTTGCTAATGATCAGGCAGTGGGACGGGGGTATGGGATGAGTGAACAGCGTGGGGATCCAGATATTTATATGTATTTGTTGTGGTTTTACATTTTAAATCTCAAGCCTTTGCTGTTTCCCCCTGCCCAGCCCTTTCCCGGGTTAGAAACGGGCCTGGATCGCCACAATTCCACCCCTCTGCCAGCAGGAGATCCGAGCCCTTGCCCAGCCACACTCTTTATCCTTTACTCCTCACTCTGGCACCTTAGAAGTCCCTCAGCAGGGGTTTCCTCAGGCACCTGCGTGTTTCTGCTGGTTCCCACACCCCTGTTTTCCTCCTCACCTGATGCTCCCCAATAAACAGGATTTTGCTGGTTGCTGGCAGCTTTTCCCAAGCCCTCGGTGCTTCCAGGAGTGCAGAAGGATGTGTTTAAGCCCTGAAGTGCCCTGTTGTTCCCCATTCCAAGCTCCCACCAGCAAATAGCACTCACCAGAGCCACGGAAAGATGCAGTTCCCATGCTGATCCCGGGCCTCACTGCAGAGCTCAGCGAGGATAAACCCTGACGGGGATTTATTTTAGTCCCTCTTGTAACTCAGCAAGGATTCTGTGACTCCCATTAGCACTTTGGGGAGGTATAAAGCAAATTCCTCAAGTTTCTTGCCTGGAAATCACGTTAAGATTTGCTAAAAGCAACAGAAGATGCAGTCTATAATTCTGGGTCTGCAAAGGAAAAGCTTTTGGTGAGTTTAAATCCAAAAGTGGTTTTTTCCCCCAAAGAAAAGGAAGCCACCATTGCTTTATAGGCAAATGGAAAAGAGACTTGGAAAATGCCCTGACACGGAGAAGTGGTTGGATATAACCAAGGCAGGAGACTCCTGCCTGTTACCTGAGACAGGATTCCAGCTTTGGTTCCCAACCCCACTACAGATGTCCTTTGGGATCCCAAACGTGGGGCAGCCCTGCTGAACTTGGTGGCACCAGCGCTGCAGGGGGAGCAGCTGAGGTTCTGCAGAACCTTCCCGTCCGACTGTGACATTTCTGATTTCTCCTCTTTTAACCCAAAGGACCGACTGCCAAGGATAAGGGTATCCAAGGAAAACCCCGTGGAGGCACGTGGGCCCTGGCAGAAGGTGCGTGACCGACAGGTGTCCCCTCCTCCTTCCCGCTGGCGCTGGGCCTGGGGATATTTTGCTCGAGATGCGACTTCCATTATTTCCATGGCAACCATCCTTTGTCGGGGCTCAAGACGCGGAGGTTTTTTAACTACTCCCCGTTTGCCAATTCAAGCCCCAGAAGGACGCGGGGAAGTTCTCATTCACATGCAAAACAGCCGCGATAGAAGCCGAGGGGTGCGGCGGAGGGGGCACCGCTCGGGCTCTTCACCTCGGCCTTCCTCCTTTCCCTGGTTTACAGGGGGAAGGAGCCCCGTCCAGGGACACTCTGGGATCCACCACACGTGTGTGTGTTGGGGCACAGTCCTGTCAAACCCACCCATGGCAGCAGATGGACCTTGATGAGCTTTAAGGTCCCTTCCAAGCCAAACCATTCCATGATTCTGTGAATGCCAAAATATCTCTACACACAACAGATCCACTGGAGACATTGTCCTTTGGCTCCACGTTTGTACCTGAGCTGCTGTGAATCCCCTCCTCCCTGCTCCCGCAGCCATCCCCTCTTACCCTGTGCTCCAGAGGATGGCTGGATTCCTGCTCCCACCTCCAGCACCTGCTGGCAGCTGTGGAATCTCCTCCTGATTTATTCTACCCTGGAGAAACACCTGACAAAGGAAAGAAATGATACAGCTGCCGAGGGAAGTGACTTTTACTTTTCTTCCTGCTTGTCCAAAGCTTCCTCGGGGAATTGTGCCATTGGCCACGGATAAAGCAAAGCCCCAGTGATGGAAACCTGATGGATTTCTCATTTTTGCTGACTTACAGACAAACTTCTGCCCAAGCTACAAGGTTCCACCTGCATTAAAATCCTCTTTACCAGAGGGTAAAAGGAGGTGGGAGTCCATTTGCTTTATTTAAAGAGAAAAAAGCGACCAGTGATACCCAGAAGACGAGTGAGAGAGTCAGAGAAAAGCAAAATCCTTCTGTGCACAATAAATTAGATTAAAGGGACAAGAGACTGAAATTTAATATAGGGAACAGAAGTTGCAGCAGATAAACAAACAAGCAGCATAAACCTTGAAAACTACTGAGAAATAAACATTTAATTAAAAACCCAATCACCAAACAAGCAGGAAATGTTCCCTCAGCTTCCCAGAAGCGCAGATAGTGAAGTCTCACCGGCTTATTCCTAGTTAGGGAGACCTGGATGTCAGGTTTAATTACAGCTCAGCACACCCCCTCCCCCCCCATCAGCATCTGTTTTATGAAAAAAATCCGATTCCCAGCTGGATCTGGTGCCTGTGGCTGGAGGACAGGACAGATCTCCAGCTCTTCCAGCACCAGGCACCAAAACCCCTGAGGACAGACAGGAATGTTGCACAAGGAGAGCGAAGCCAATTTCTTACCCATTTTTGTCCAGGATTGGTGGCTGCAGATTCAGGACACAGCCAGGAGCTCAAATCCATGAATGCAGCAGTCCTTGCTCTCATGCCCAGCCATGATCCCTCTTATGAAAGGGAAAAATCCCTCAGCCCAAACTGTCCTGGGCTACTCAATCCAACATTGGGTTTGGATACAGCTCCAGGCCCTTCTTCCAGACAGTTTTACAAATCCCGAAGGAAACACCCTAAAAAGGGGGAAGGACAATTAAGAGGTGAATCCCAGGAAGCCACCAGCTCCATAACCCATCCCTGCCACTTTGTACCAACTCCACAGCAGTGAGGAGCCCATTTGGCTGCTTTTCATCCCATTTCCCCGTGTCCCGTCTCAGCGTTCAGCTCCGATGTGTCCCTTCTCCATTTGTTACTGCTGCTCTGGCAACTAAAACACTAATTAATCCCAACAGCAATAGCCAATTCATCACACCTCCACGAGGGGCAGAGGCCTCTCCAAGAACACAAATAATCCCAAGGAAAGGCACTCACAGGGTAATTCATATAAAAACTTTATTAGAAACGAGGACACGGCCTCCCAGGAACAACATCCCGTGTTATCTCCTGAACTTGTACAATTTCAGAGCCATAATTAAATACAAGAGCTACAAAAAGGGTGTGCACAGCTATAAAAGGAAGGAGAACTAATCCCCAAAATGCCATTGTTTCAAACACGGCCGGGGAAAGGATTTTTCCACGGTGGTTTCCACGCAGGGCCCACGAGGCTGTGAGCTGGCATGATGCCCGTGGGATTTGGTTTCCATCCTAAGGACCAGGATGGGGTTTGGTCTTATCCCAAGTCTGTATTGCTTTAATTCAAAGGGAAGAGCAGAGTGTCATGGTTTGAGATTGCATCTGATATGTGATGCTGGTTAAATAGTTGTACTTTCAAACCTTAAAATCACACAGAAAAGGAGTATTATCCTATCCCTAGTTATATTTCGATGGTAAATAATAATAATTATCAATAATAATAATAATAATAATAATAAAACCCAGAGGTACTACTGACACAGAGAAAAAAAAAAAGACCAGCCTCATTTAAGCACCATCTACAATGAGAAAACAAAAGATAAATGGGGCCTGGTTTATAAAATAACCTTTTTTTTTTTTCTACTTATACCCAAACCCCATCTGCTGTCTGAGCCAGGACCAGTTTAACAGCGCTGATTTTTAGTGCATCAACTGCCATGGTATGATTTCGACTCAACCACACACCACTTCATATAAAACATGGGAAAGGAGGAAAAAATACTTAAAATATATGAATTTCTCAGGTTCCTTACGTGTGTTTTCCACGTTGTGCCATAAAAAAAAGGATTTGGAGCAAGATAAAGAGATACAAAAGCTACTGTGCTCGAGTCAGCGGCGAATGTACACAGGAGAGTCAGAGCCGTACAAAAAGTATCCTAAATAGCAAAGGCAATATAGAATATTTCATATAAAACAGGGTTTGCAAAGTATAAAATTGGGAAACAATGCATAGAAGAGCGCGTTTCACACAGCGGCAACGGCTGTGCTAGCAAATCCTTGCAGCCGAGGCGGGATTCCCACCGGAATCACTGCCTGCAGAACTCGCTGGTGATGTTGGGGAGGGGGTAGGCGAAGAGGGAGAAGTCCAGGATGTATTTTGGGAGGAGCTCCTTGATGAGCCGGCGCTGGGTGTTGCACAGGTAGTAGTGGAGCGTCTGGGCCGTGACGGGCTTGTACCAGGCCTGGCGCTCCGGGAAGCGGATGAAGGAGGGCGCCTGGATGCGCTCCAGGACGTGGTCGGCGTCGTCGCGCAGCCGCTCGTAGGAGCCGATGAAGTCGTACCTGACGGCGCAGGGCTGGCACAGGTTGTAGATGGGCATCCAGTGCTCGTTCATCCGCTCCACGTCCTCGTCCAGCAGGTACCGGAGGAACTCGGAGAAGGTCACGTCGTCGCCCGCCGAGTTGCCGCCGTTCTTGCGGTACCTCCGGACGATCTCCACGCCGTACTTCTGCTGGTACTCCTTGATCTCCCCGAACTTGTTCCGGTAGGCCGAGAGCAGCCTCTCCATGGGGTTCCGCACGAAGAGGAACTTGTAGTAGTGCTTCAGGCGGTAGCTGATCTCCTCGGGCTTCATGTCCCCCAGGAACACCAGGTCGCTCTTGTGGTCCATCTTCCCCTGCACGTCCACGCTCTCCAGCGCCCCGTCCAGCACCTTCAGGATGCGCTTCCAGTTGGAGCAGGCCACCTTGGGCACGTAGCAGTAGAGGAAGCGGTACTTGTCGCTGACCAGGAGGTGCCGGAGCAGGGTGCGGCGCTGCCCGGCCGGCAGGTCCCACACGGTGCGGGGCATGGAGCGCTGCCCGCACAGCGCGCGGATCGTGCGGTTCCGGGTGTCCCGCAGCACCTCCAGCTCCAGCCCCGGCCCCGCGGGCGGCTCCCGGCGGGACGGTGGCCCCGCGGGCGGGTGCGGCGGCGGCGGCCCGACCTGTGCGAGGATGCCGCGCTGGATCATGAGGAGCAGCCCGCTGGAGGCCAGGATGACGCCGAACATCAGCATGGAGGGCAGCAGCGCCGCGCCCCGGGAGCGCGCCCGGCTGCGGCCCGGCGGGACCCGGCGGGGCTCGGCGGGGCCGGGGGCGCGGGGCTGCATGGCCGGGGGGGCTCCCGGGCCGGCCCGGCCTCGGGGGGTCCGGCCCGCGGGGTCAGCGGGCGGGGCAGCCGCGCTGACGGAGCGGGGCGGGAGGAGGAGGAGGCGGGACCGCCCCGCGCTGCGACCGCCCCGCCCGGGGCCGGGGCGGGGAGAGGGGAGTCACTGAATCCCGGAATATTTGGGGTGGGAGGGGTCCTAAACACCGTCCAGTCCCAGCCCCTGCTGCGGGCAGGGACACCTTCCACCAGCCCAGCTTGCTCCAAGCAATATCCGATCTGGACTTGGACACTGCCAGGGATGGGGCAGCCACAGCTTCTCTGGGCAACCTGTGCCAGGGCCTCCCCACCCTCACAGGGAAGGATTTCTTCCCTGTATCCATCCCAAATGCCCCCTTCTTTCAGTTTGAAGCCATTCCCCCTTGTCCTGTCACTCCAGCCCCTTGTCCCAAGTCCCTCTCCAGCTCTCCTGGAGCCCCTTTAAGCACTACAAGGGGCTCTAAAGTCTCCCTGGAGCCTTCTCTTCTCTGGGCTGAACACTCCCAGCTGTCCCAGCCTGTCTCCAGAGCAGAGCTGCTCCAGCCCTCTAATCACAAGAATCCCAGAATTATTTAGGTTGGAAAACAGCTCCAAGATCATCAAGTCCAACCTGTGCCCGATCCCCGCTTTGTCACCCAGCCCAGAGCACTGAGTGCCATGTCCAGTCGTTCCTTGAACACCTCCAGGGAGTGGTGACTCCACAACCTCCCTGCGCAGCCCATTCCAATGTGTGATCATCCTCTCTGTGAAGAACTACTTCCAAATGTCCAACCTAAACCTCCCCTGGCACAGCCCAAGGCTGTGTCCTCTTGTCCTCTCCCTTATTCCCTGGGGGCAGAGCCGAACCCCCCCCATCTCCCCCCTCCTGTCAGGGAGTTGCAGAGAGAGAGAAGGTCCCCCCGAGCCTCCTTTTCTCCAGGCTGAGCCCCCCCAGCTCTCTCAGCTGCTCCTCATAGGACTGACTCCCACTAACCATCCCTCTGGAGCAAGCCCAGGGCCACCCATGGGATCCCCACCGGCACCTCGTGAAACGGATGGTTTTTTTTGCAATACCAGGCCAAACCAGCCATAATTAGTCATCGTGCCACACTTTATAATGTTCTCTAATTCTGTAATCCCTGCACAGGTTTAGCACCTGGAGGAGGAGCAGACACCCGTTACCTGCAGAGCCGAGGACGCTGTGCCACCACCTGAGAGCCAAAGGACGGGATTTTCCAACACTTTGTTTGGGCATTTCCCCCAAACCACCTCTTTGAATGACTGCAGCTGTTCCACCACCTCTGCTTAAGGCAAAGCACTAACCTGGCCATCAGGATGCCATTTCCTCATCCAGCAGAAATCATTCCACGCTGCCATTATTCTCCCTGTTTTCCTTCAATGAGTTTTCCGAGCGTACCACGGGGCCTGGGCTCTCAACCAGCCTCGCAGGGACTCTCTGTCAGGAGCTTTTTTAACATCAAGAGAAAACCAGCTTCCACTTACTTTCCTTTGATCAAAAGCCAAGAGCGTTTTGTCAGCCAAGGCAGACAAAGCCCTTGGAGTGCAGTGCCAGAGCCTGCAGCTACATTATTTCACATTTCCCAGTTTTATTTGGATGTAAATACAGCTTTAGCTCTAAGAGGACACGGATATCCTACCCTGCCACCAGCAAAGCTGCACACATGAGGTGATACCAGATTCCTGCTCCGATTGCAGAGGGCAAGTCCTGATCTGATCTCAACACCAGCCCAAACTGAAGCTGTGCCAACATATATAATCACTGAGGCAAAAAAAAAAAAAATCAGGCCTTCTTGGAAATCCCTCCTCTTGGAGAAAAAGCCTCACTGCAGCAAACTCCAAAGCAGCAAAGGGGAATTTTTATTTATTAGTCTGGCACCGCTCATCCCTTTTTGTTCCTATTCTCCCCTACTATCTCCAGGTCAGGAGCAGTTGCATGTGGTAACAGAGTGGTTCTGGAAAGAGAGAGAAATAGGAGGCTGCCCACGAGGTCACTGGGGCTATTTTCCAAAGGGAATTGGATTTAAGGACTGGTCTGAAGAGCACAGGTACAGGGTAGGATGCAGAGTCCCTGTGGGACCAACACAGCCAAGCAAATACACGGCTCAGGGGGTGGTTTGCAGGGTTAAACTCTGTGTCACTGAAGAAAATTAATTGTGGTTACACTCAATGTGCCTAATTAACACCCAGAGTGAGCAGTAATTTGATTTTTGAAGCAGTTAAAAGCCGCCTCACGTTCAGAGTGCACGAAACTCCGGGAACATGTTTCCCAGACAGATCCATTCCTTCAGGAAAGGTATATTTAGCACATAAAATGTCACAGAGGAAACAAATCTTCAGGCTCCTGTGGTTTGTTTATACAACAAACCACAACGATGGAAGGGTTTGGTTCTCTCTTATGAGGGAGAAGGGAAACCCACACAGCCCTTCCCAGCAGATGCTCTGCCAGGCCTCATCCCTACAGTTCCCACTTACAGGTATAAAAGCAGGCTTTTTGTAACTCACAGCCCCTTTCAAGATGCTTCCAAACCCCAGCAATCACCTTAAGAGCACCACGGGTAACTGGAGGAGTAAGTTTCTGGGCCTTTTCCTCACTGTTTACTTGCACGAGCAGAAAACCAACATTAAAATACATTACTGTTATTATTATTATTATAATAATATCACATTTTAATATCATCTGCATTACACTGAGGCAGTCTCCCAGCAGCATTTATGCACACTCAGGTTTAAGACAGGCTGCAGAACTCACCTGGGCTGTCAGAGATCAGGAATATTTATCAGTCTGACAAGGAAAGGGCCAATTCCCAGAGGGGATGGAGGAAAAGGCTGAGGGACGCCCCTGTCCATCCTGCTTGGACCGAGGCTGGACACTGATGTCATCACCAGTGCCCTGCCAAGGCTCTTCTGCCCCTTGGGCTGAGAACAGACATTTATTTTGGGCTGAGGAACTGCAAAAAGGAAGAATGTGTGAGGCTGCTGGAAAAGCTGAGCTGGAAAAAAGGAGGTTTCTTTAAAAAAAAAAACAAACCAGTTTGGGCTGATGCCAACTTTCCAGGCAAGCACCAGGAGGGTGATTCCTAACAAAGGAGACCCCTTGGATGGGTCTGAGCAGCTCCGGATCAAAAGGTAAAACAAGCAAAGGAAGGAGAGATCCGATGCTGCGGCTTCGTGTCCAGAGATTATCCTGTAATTTGGTATAATAAAGCCTCTTATCCGAGGGGATAAGCACAGAAGCCGCTCCACAATCAGCTCATGACCAAGGCAGAGTTTCTTATCTCTAGGGAAAAAAGCCTTTTTAAACAAAGTCAAACACTCCGAATGAACGCGCTGGATAATTCCAAGGAGATGGTCACGACCGGCTCGGTCAGAACAGAAAAATCCCTGTTTTCAAGGAAAACTTTGTGCTGAAGGACCTGGTTATAAATTCATGGATATGCAGTTGGCTGAACTTGCAAAGACGTTACTCCGAGCTCAGTTCCTCGCTATGAGCTCAGTTCCTCCCTCCCTGCTCCACTGGGCATGACTCTGGAATTGCTTTTGAATGGAGCCATCCCGGGAGGATCAGCTCCTCCATGCCAGGAGAACCACCAAGCACCACACGCTCAGCAGGGGCCATGACAGCTCTTCCCCCTTGGATTTGGGATGAGGATGCACAGAGGGGGACGGGAGCACATCCCAGTCCCCAGAGATTGCACGGACAGCGAGACATGGCCGTGGAAGCTGCAGGGCAGGGAGCCAGCACAGCTGGCAGGCACTGCATGGATACACATTCCCCCGGGGCTGCACGCTCCATATGCTCCAGCTGGGCAGGGGGTCGGAGCGAGGTCAGGAATATTCGGGAATACCGCAGGCGCTGGCACAATGGGGACGGCGTTCGGTGGCTGTGCCTCAGTCTGAGCTTTCCTGGTGTTTTCCTGCTCCCCAGAAAACCCAGGATGACATGCAAAGCCCATCCCAAGCTGAGTGTATCCAATTTTAAGTCAGTAACAACCACAATTCCCTTGTTCTACCCTTTATCCTCCCGCTGACCCATCCCTGATCCCACTGATCCCTCTCAGCCCAGGGCTACTGGATTCACACACCATCGGAGTCAGAGCCAGCTGGGGCTTTACCACCAGTTTTCAGTACAAACACACACTAAATCCAGCACAGCTCAAACCTGTGTCGCAGGAGAGTCTCCAAGTCTCTTAACTCATTCCAGGTCTATCTCCTGCTCTTTACACGGAGTTTCCCGAGGCTCCCAGGTGGCTCCTGCGGGGCTGTAATGAACTTGTGAGTGTGTGTGTGTGTGTGAGATTCCTGCTGGAATTTGTCCAATTAATGTTTTTGTGGTTTCACAGGCAGCAGGGCGAGGACTGAACCTGCTCCAACACCTACAAAACCTGCAGCATCTTGTCCCTGACACCACAAATCACTGTTCCGAGGGAAAAAAAAACGGGAAGGGACTAATAAGGACCCATTTTCCTGAGCCCTGTTTAGGTTTTTAACATCCTTCCATGTGTCAGGAACAACAAATAGCCTGTGAAGGACGTGCTTTGCCCCAGGAAAACTATTTGAGGGGGATGTTGGAGACTGGTGGTGGATGGGTGCCGGGAGATCTGGGGGCTAAGCTGAAAGAGATGGGATCTGGCTGGAAATAGGGAGAAATTCATCCTTGAGAGGACAGTCAGGCATTGGAGGAGCTGTGCCATCTCTGTGGAGCCCAGGCTGGCTGACTCACAGAATCTCAGACTCATTTGGGTCGGAAAAGACCTCTAAGATCATCAAGTCTGACCTTCAGTCGTGGTGTCTGTGAAAACTTCCCAATATCCTGATTTTTTTTGTTGTTCTTCTCAATATGGTTTTCTGTGTGTGACCCGGATTTTATAGGAACTGGAAGTTTTGTGCCTTCAGGCCATACAAGGGCAGCATGTTATTTGAATTGCTGTGTAATCCCTAAAAAGCATTTTCCTGAGTATTCCAGAGGCACTTTCCAAGGAAAGTCTGAGGGTTTAGTATCAAGCCCACTGTAAATGCCAGTTGGAAATCCTGAGTCCACGAATTACAGCAGCCTCCTTCCTGCTTTGTTACTGTTGATGTACACACTCCATTCATTTTTCCTTGTAAAATTCCCTGTGTGCACAGCAGGATCCTACTGGTGCTTTTAAGGAACAAACATGTACAACTAATCCGAAATTTTCTCTAAATGCAGCATATTTACAAGGTTGTTTCCAACGTTTTCAAGCCTTAAACGTATCAACATAAAGGTGGTTTGGAAAACGAGCATTGAGAGGGAGAAAAATGAGGGAGGAAACTCAGGATCCTAGGGATGAAAAATGAGGGAGGAAACTCAGGATCCTAGGGATGAAAAATGAGGGAGGAAACTCGGGATTGAGGGAAAGGCAAAGAGCAAAGAGCAAGCGAATCCCATCCCTCATGAAAAATTAACTATTAGAAAAATGAGTTATCATAAAACATGAGCCATTGTTAATTATATCAAAGAGCAGAAGGGACTCCAGCAAGAATTCCGGCCTGACATCTGTCCCAACAGGATTAATTTAAAATAAACATCAGGAAGAACGAAATAAATCAGTTGGTTTGTGCCTCCTCTCGCTCCGGACCGTGGAGGAATGAGGCTTTCTGCAGGAAAGCCACAGAAAGGGCTTTTCCCCCTTCTCTATCCATAAAAAAACCCCATTGCATTGTTTCCAGATTTTGGAAGAAAACTGATTAGGAAAGTTAAATTGCAGGAAAATTTGCTCAAATATTAGGAAAAAAAATGAGTTGGGAGCAAGGGGCCTGTCCTTGTCCCTGGAAAAGGGGGGCTGCTGCCTGCCTGCATCCCTGGTCCCAAACCCGCACGCTTCCCTGCGGCTGCTGTCAGGTGACATCATGTTCCTGAAACAGGGAGATCCCTCTGGGAAATCAACTCCCACGGGGTGTCCCAGCTTTCATCTCACAGGGAGGTGAGAACAAAACCCAACCGTGCTCGTTAACGTGCCATATAATTCCCTTTTTATAGACTAATTATCCGATGTGGTACAAATCCCACCCCACTCACGGATCTTTGGCTGGGATAGGGAGAAACACCCTCCCCCCAGCCTGGGACAGGGAAAAACATCTAATTGCTAAATCAGCTTCATCCTGAGCAATCCAGAGTCCTCTCCTTGAGAAATCCATCTCCTTGGCCCACGGACAGCAGAGGATGCTGTTCCCTGCTGGGAGGGTCATTCGTGTGTAAGAAGAAAAAGAGGGAAAAAGGGATTAAGTGGAGGTGAGGAAACATCTGTAGAGCACAAACCACAGCTCGGGCCGAGCAGGATGGGATGGCCAAACACATCTGGTCTGCTCCTTAAATCCAGGTTCAGGGACCACCCAAAAGATGGAGGAGAAACCGGAGTTGGCTTCATGCAGCTCAATCCCTATGTATTACAAGGGAAATAAGAATGGGATGTTCCAGGGACAAGGGAATTCCAGGGAATTTGCTCTGTGCCCTGAGCCAGGTGCTGAGGGGCAGGGGAATTTACCTGCTGCAGAGGAAGGAGGGGAGTTTTCTCACCAGCTTTTCCCAGAGCACTTGATGCTTCCGAAACCATGACAT